TTAAATTAAATTAAATTAATATTTTATAAATAATATTTTATAAAATTTAATAACCATGACATTAATAATGATGTCCATAACCTTGCCCGGTGGAAAGGGCTTGGTATTGCTTTTAAGATTTCAAGTGATTGGGTTTTCTCACCTTTTAGGGGATTGAGTTGATCCATTACAAGTTACAAGTTAGTTTATTGATAATTTTGGTACTCCTTTTCATAAAACCAAATCTACCCTTACCTAATCTCCTTAAGTCCCCTCTAAGCTCGGGGGTTTTTGGGGGGAGAGAGAGAGAGAGAGAGAAAAAAAAAAAAAAGGGGAAAACTGAGAAATTATTTATTGGCTAGTTTCGGCTTAATTGCATTTGTACTATAGTCAATTTTTCAAGGGAACAAATGCCAACCCTATGATTTTAGTAAGAGTCATCTTTTATGGGTTTAATGTATTGGATGGGTGCATGGTTAAATGGAACAGCTGCTATTTTGCGTTGTGGTTTGGATTCATTACCTATGATTTATCTTGGACTGCCTGTTGGTGCAAACCTTGGAAGAAGAAAGTTGCCTGTTGGTGCAAACCTTGGAAGAAGAAAGTTTTGGAAACCAGTGATTGATTGATTTCATTCTAAACTTGCAGCCTCGAAGTGCTCTACTGTCTTTTGGTGGGTGATTTACTTTACTCAATTCGATACTCTTTTATATGTCTTTGTTTAAAATTCCAAAATGTGTTATTGTGAAAATTGTTAGGATTCAAAAGAATTTCTTTTGGGGTGGGTTAGGTTAGGAGAGGAAAATAAATTGGATAGGTTGGGAGTTTATCTGTTGGGTAAAAGATAAGGGTGGTTTAGGTGTGGCTGATGTGGGATTGAGGAACGAGGCTTTGTTAGGTAAGTGGTGGAAAAGGTTAGAAGATGGGAAAGTGGGGTTGTGGAAGAGGGTAATTTGGGAGAAGTACTATGAGGGTAAGAGAGTGGCAAATATTACTTCTTTTACATCTTTAAATTTGTCTCAAGTGTGGAGTGATATTATTAGCATTGGGAAGGGGTTTGCACGTTTAGATTTGATGCTAGTACAAGGGTTTAAATGGCATATGGGAGATGGGGATTTGATGAGGTTTTGGAAAGATAAATGGGTGGATGTAAACTGTTGAGTCATTTATTTCCTCGACTGTTTGTTCTTGCTTGCTTAAAGGATGGGTCAATGAAGGATATGGGTTATTGAGATGGGGATGTTTGGCAGTGGAAGATGGAGTGCAGGACAGCTTGTATGGGTAGGGAAGTGGGTGAGGATGAGTGATTTCAGTCAGTACTTGGTAGGGCAAAATTAACAAAAGGAGGGATGGATATATGGAGGTGGGTGCATGATATTAATGGAGATTATACTGTGAAGACTGCATATAATTTTTTTTATCACCTATTGATGTTGTGCTTGAAAAGAAATGGCGTAAGTTACTTTGGGGCAGACGTATTCCTTCTAAAGTGTCTATTTTTGGGTGGAGATTGCCTTTGAATAGGCTAGCTACAAAGAAGAAGCTTATTAGGAGGGGGGTGGAATCGCAAGGGGTGGATGAAGGTCGTGGTTTATGTAGATTAATGGTTGAAGAATGGGATCATTTGTTGTGTATGTAGGGAAGTCTGGTTATTATGGATGCAGGTGCTGTACGTTGTGGTGGGGTATGGAGGGTGTTTTTCCTAATACTGTTTGGGGATTGGTGGAGTATTGGGTGATAGGTGTAGGTGGGCAGTTGTGTGGACAAGAGGTGGCTGGACTTATATTTTTAGTGGTAAATTGGTATATTTGGTGCTGGAAAAATTCAAAGGTATTTGGGATTGAAATGTGTTCTAGAGAAAATATGTTGGGATCTATTCAAGCCGAAGCTTTTTTATGGATTAAAAGTAAGGAAGCTGGATGTGCATTCTCTTTTTGCAATTGGACTAAAAGGCCGGTGGATTGTGCCAAGTTCAGAAAAAATAAGAAGGTTTTTAAAGTGCAGTGGAGTATGTTGATGGTTTTGTTTGCAGGATGGAATCTTGTTTTGTTATGTATTTTATTCAATTTATTAGGTTATAAAGGATTTATGTTGATTAGGAGCATTTCTTATACTCCAAAGAAATATTTCTCAGGTTTGCTTTGCTGATAAAAAAAGGGGGGGGGGGGTGAATGCCAAACTTTTTCAACAGTAAAAGCCTAACGTCATTTCACAATATTACAATTACAGTAGCAGGGGAAGTTAAAACGACCTCATTTTGAAAATTATATAACACGAGTGAGTAATGAAGAAAAATAAATTCGTTGTGATGTGACTGTCCAGTTTCAATGTGTTTTGATGGTTAGGTGGAAAATAATTTCAGTTTCTTTATATACGCTCCAAATGAGCTAGGAAGAATCAAGTTCTATTTGAGTAGCAACCATCCCTAGATTACCACCAACAATGTCGAAGTTTTTAGGATCAGAGACAATCTGCCCTCATATTGCCCTCTTCCCTAGTGCTGGAATGGGTCATCTAACGCCTTTCCTGCGGCTTGCTTCTTTGCTGTTGTCTAATAATTGTAAGGTTACTCTGATCACTCCCACACCTTCTGTCTCAGTTGCAGAGTCCACACATATTTCTTCCTTCGTTTCAGCTCATCCAGAAGTCAATCATCTTGAGTTTCAACTTCCTTCCTTACAACCTCCTCCTAATTCAGTTACTAAGGATCCCTTTCATATCCAGTTCGATACCATTCTTCGTTCTGTGCATCTTCTCCATCCATTGCTACGTTCTTTATCTCCACCTCTATCTGCCATCTTTTCTGATATTTTAGTAGCTGCTGGTGTCATTCAGGTTGCTGTTGATCTTGGTCTTCCCCATTATACTTTGGTCACCTTTTCTGCTAAATATCTTTCTCTGACGGCATATATCTCGACCATGGTATCTGATCCCACTAAACTTAAATGTTCAACTGAAATTCAGATCCCCGGGCTAGGGCCAGTCCCTGTGGGAAGCATCCCTCCTCCATACTTCAACCCAAATCATCTCTTCACATCCGTCTTTTTGTCAAATGCAAGAGCTCTCCCAGAAGTTGATGCAATTCTAATAAATTCCTTCGATTGGCTTGAACCAGAAACACTTTCTGCACTTAACAGCGGTAATGTTTTCGCCAATTTTCCACCTGTCCTCCCTATAGGACCGTTAGTACCTTATGAGCTTAAGAGGAAGGAAGAGTGTCAATACCTACAGTGGTTAGACATCCAACCCAAAGAATCTGTCGTTTATGTGAGCTTTGGAAGCAGAACAGCCACGTCGAAAGATCAAATGAAAGAACTGAGAGACTGCTTGTGGAAAAGTAAGTATCGTTTTCTTTGGATACTCAAAAGCAACAACGTGGATAAGGATGACAAAGAAGATTTGGACACCCTATTAGGTGATTCCTTTTTTGAAGATACCAAGAACAGGGGAATGGTAGTGAAGCCTTGGGTATACCAACAAGAAATTCTAGCACATCCTGCTGTCGGAGGCTTTGTTAGTCACTGTGGTTGGAACTCACTGAGTGAAGCAGCTCGTAATGGGGTTCCAGTTCTGGCATGGCCTCACCATGCAGACCAAAGTGTGAATGCGGAAGTTGTGAAGAAGGCGGGGCTTGGATTATGGGACAGCAGTTGGGGTTGGGGTCTTCAGAATCTAGTGAAGCAAGAAGAGATTCAGAAAATGATTGGTCAGCTGATGGAGGATGAGAAGTTGAGGATTACAGCAAAAAAGGTGGGCGATGAAGCTAAGAAAGCTGGAGAAATTGCTGGGAGTTCCAACAAGGTACTCATGAAAGTCCTTCGAAGCCTCGTGAAATAAAATCAGTTCAACTTTCCATAAACATCGTGCTAAACTCCTCGCATGACCAGGTTTCCGTTGCATTTCTTCCTTGTTCTCTCTCTGTTTTATAATATAAATTGTTATAGTCTTGATAAAGATATATTTTGAGTCCTAGTGTGGTTTACTTATTGGATGGGTAGGGAAGGGTTTAAGAAGAAGATGGTTATCTATATTGTATGGTTTATAATTTGATGTTGAGAATAAAAAAATAAAAAAAAATAAAAGCCCTGTACGTAGTGCAAGGAGAAGCACTAATATAGTGTGTGTTTGTTGTTTGTATTTTATATTGTTTTATTCTAAATTTTAATGGAATTAAATTAATTGTTAGTTATTATTAGATTTTAAAATTATAATATGCGCTGTTTGTTGTGCCATACTTTTTTAATATTTAGTGTATAGTAATTTTTAAGTAATTACTAAATTAAATATAAGTAGTTCTTTTACCTGTATTGTACAGGTTATTATTTAGTTTTTTGTATTAAAGTTTATATTTCATATTATTTTTTATCAACTTTTGAATTTTATAATGATTTTCTAGCTAAAAGACTTTAATTAAGTGATTAAGGTAAGGTTTAACATTGTGTTAGGTAATTGGTAAAAATACTTTTTAAAAAAGTTATACAAAGCCACATTAAAAAGAAATAATATTAAGGGAATTTAAAAAACATTCAATATTAATCTTTATCTCATAATTCAAATAAATTTGTTCTTTCTTTTTTTTTTTATTATCTCAATTAAGGATTTATACTATAT